AGATGTTGTGAGCCACCATGTGGGTGCTGGGAATTGAACTCAGGACCTCTGGAAGAGCAGTCAGTGCTCTTAACCTCTGAGCCATCTCTCCAGCCCCAGTAATGTTTCTTTTACATATGTTGGTGCCCTTGTGTTTGGGGCATAAGTGTTCAGAATTGAAACTTCATCTTGGTGGATCTTTCCTGTGATGAGTATGTTTCTTGATCTCTTTTGATTGATTTTAGTTTGAAGTCTATTTTGCTGGATATTAGGATGGCTACACTAGCTTGCTTCTTAAGACCATTTGATTGGAAAGACTTTTCCCAGTCTTTTATTCTGAGGCAGTGTCTATTTTTGAAATTGAAGTGTGGGCCAGGTGGTGGTGTCACACACCTTTAATCCCAGCACTAGGGAGGCAGTGCCAGGCTGATCTCTGTGAGTTCAAGGCCAGCCTGGGCCTTTGCACCCAGGAAAGGTGCAAAGCTACACAGAGAAATTGAAGTGTGTTTCTTGTATGCAGCAGAAAGATGGGTCCTGCTTTCATATCCATTCTGTTAACCTGGGTCTTTTTATAGATGGATTAAGTCCATTGATATTAAGAGTTATTAATGACCAGTGATTTTTAGTTCCTGTTATCTTTTGTTGTTAGTGTGTGTGTGCTTCTCTTCTTTGGAGTTTACTGTTGTAAGGTTATCTATTGCCTGTGTTTTCATGGGTGTATATAACTTCCTTAGGTTGGAATTTTCTTTCTAGTGCTTTCGCTAGGGCTGGATTTGTGGGTAGGTATTGTTTAAATCTGGTTTTGTCTGGAATGTCTTATTCACTCCGTCTATGATGATTGAAAGTTTTGCTGGGTATATGAGTCTAGGCTGGCAGCCATGGTCTCTTAGTGTCTGCATTACATCTGTCCAGGTCCTGCTGTCTTTCAAAGTCTCCATTGAGAAATCAGGTGATATTCTGATGGGTTTGTTTGCCTTCATAAGTCACTTGTCCTTTTTCCTTTGCTGCTCTTAATATTTTTTTCTTTATTCTGCACATTTAGTTGTTTAATTATTATGTGGCAAGGAGACTTTTTTGTTGGGGGGGGGTCTAGTCTGTTTGGTGTTCTGTAGCCTTCTTGTATCTTCATAGTATTCCCTTCTTTACGTTGGGAAAGTTTTCTTCTATGATCTTGTTGAATATATTTTCTGTGCCTTTGAGTTGGTATTCTTCTCCTTCCTCTATTCCTATTATTCTTAGGTTTGGTCTTTTCATGGTGTCCCAGATTTCTTGGACATTTTGTGTTATGACTTTTTTGGCTTTGGTATTGTCTTTAACCAACAAATCTATTTTCTCTATTGTATCGTCTACACCAGAGATTCTCTCCTCCATCTCTTGTGTTCTGTTGGTTATGCTTGCATCTGTGTTTCCTGTTCATTTACTCAGATTTTCTATTTCCAGCATTCTCTCTTTTTTTGTCTCCTTCATTGTTTCTATTTCCCTTTACAGGTCTTGAACTGTTTCTTTCACCTGTTTAATTGCTTTTTCATGATTTCCTTTAAGGGATTTATTGATTTCTTCCAATTTTTAAATTTGTCTTTCCCTTTATTTCTTTATAGATTTCTTCCATTTTTTGTCTTTTTCTCAATTTCTTTATTGATTTCTTCCACTTTTTTGTTTGTCTTTTCCTCATTTTCATTTTTCATTTTTTCTTGAAAGGCCTCTATCATCTTCATGATGCTATTCTTTTTTTTTTTTTGCGCCTTTCCTGGAATTCAATTTGTAGCCCAGGCTGGCTTTGAACTCACATAGATCTGCCTGGCTCTGCCTCCCTATTGCTGGGATTAAAGGCGTGCACCACCACAGCCCGGCCATGATGCTATTCTGAAGGTCGCCTTCTTCTGCTTCTTCTACTTTGTGATGTTTGGGTCTTGCTGTTGGAGGCGGGCTAGGTTCTGGTGATGCTGTATTGCTCTTCATGTTATTGTATGTACTTCTACCTTGACATCTGCCCATCTCCTCCTTTAATGGATATAAGAGGTGCCTGTGTCTGAGCAAGTTGCTGTTGGTCCACTCTGTGCTTGTGTCTGTGTGTCAGGGGGTTCATCTGGGTCCTATCTTAGCTTTTGGTCTAATTGGAGCAGGCAGATTCTGTGTCTCCGGGAGCTACTCTTGGGTCAACCCAAGCTAGATGATTCTGTGACTCACTGATCCGCTCTTGGTCTTATCAGGGTTCTTGGTCCAGTCAGAGCTGACAGATTCTGTGTTTCAGGAAGCCTCTCTTGGGTCCAATGAGAGGTGGCAGATTCTACTTCTCAGAAAGCCACTTTTGGTCTAATGAGGGCTGGCAGATTCCCTGTCTCCTGAGGTTACTCTTGATCCAATGACAGCTCTTTGTCCAATGAGAGCTCTCTCTAGTCCCCATGAGAGCTGGCACTTTGTTTCCAAGCCTCAGGAAGTGGCTGGGGTCTCGGGCAGATGGGTATGGGGTATTTTCATAGTTCTTAAATGGACAATTTTCAGATTCATATGGAAGCACAAAATCCAGGATAGCTAAAATAAACCTGAGTAATAAAAGAACCATGTGATGTTGCACTACAAACTTGGGCAGCCATAAGCTACTTGCATTAGTTATTTTGGACTAGCTACTTGCACTAGTTATTTTGCACTAGCTACTTGCACTAGCTACTTGACTGAGGCATCTAGCTCCTCTACCTGTCTTTAAGCCCGATATTCTGTCTCCTACCTGATTGATCTCTTTGAGTTATGAGGCTTATTGCATTTTTCCTTTCTTGTTTCATTTCAGTTTGGGTTTTCCCCGGCGTTTCTAACTACTTATTGAATTCACTTTTCATATCCTACGGTGTCTTCACATCCTTCAGGCATTTGCTAGTGTTCTCTTGCCCGCGAATCATTTTGTTCCTATTTTTAAGTTGCTTAACATAATTTACATGTTTTGATCATCTTGAACATGACTCTGCGTTTTGACTTCTGTATATTGGATATCATTTGACATTCTCTCCTTAGGGGATACAGATATAGTCTGTACTTTGAGCCAAGGGCGTTTTATGTTAGCTTTAATTTGTCTGGGGAATGAGACTTGAGCATCAGAATTTAGGGCGTCGGTTGTCCTTTTTGTGTGTTTTAACCCAGGAGGCCGGTATCCCAAGATGAGAAGTTAGGCGGAATAACTTGTATCTGAAGGTTTCAAAACGCAGCGTTGGGGTCAGATACTGAGGCAGGGTGTGTGTGTGGCTGTGCAGAGCGGGTGCAGGGCAGCCTGACAGCTGGAGCTGTGTGGAAGGCGCCTGAGACCGAGTGGGAGGGACGGGTCCCCGTTGGTGAGGGGACATCAGTCTGATCAGAGTTGTGTAGGGGAAAAAAAACAGCGAGGGCGACTAGGTAAAGTAAATAAGAAAAAGAATCAGCGGTAGGCAAGTTTAGAGGAAACACGTAACCGGAAGCGGGACTGTATTGGGCGGGGCCAGGAGGTGCGGCTCCAAGGAATGACGCTAAAGAACAGGAAATTCCACCATTCCCTGTTGGACTCGGGGAGCTGCCTTTTCCGGAACTGGGCGAGAAAGACCCGGCCGGGTATTCGGGGACCTGAAACCTCCCCGGAGCCGCAGTCGCCGCGCGGGGCGGCCTGGGAAAGTCACCAGTCAGCAGCGCAGTGGCGGGAACCGCAGCCCGGCGGCCCTGGAACCTCCCAGGTCAGAGGAGCTGCGGGGCTGGGACACGGGAGGGGAGGGACCGGGGTGTGCGCGCCGAGGCTGCTCAGAAGGACACAGCTTCCAAAATTCTGTTGTGGACATCGTTCCGTTGTCGGTAAGGTTGAGATCCTATGAAGTGGGGACTATCGTGATTTTTTTTTCTTTGATCTTATGGTTGCCAGAATATTTTCATGAAATAATCTCAGAGCATCTGCAGTGTCTGTAGTATGCAAACCGGGTTCTCTTCGCTGCTATAGCAGTTAGAAAGCTCGAGTTCAAATTCATCCATGCCTTCTTAACTCCACTGGTCTACTACTTGCCTCTTCACGAATGGACTTGGCCCCTAGGACTACGCATCCCTAGAGAGCTTTGTAGATATTAGTCTTATGAGGAACCTCTGTAGATTTGATTGAACCAGAAAATATACGTTATAAAGCACCACAGTTATGATTGTAAATATTAACATTTACTAAGCGAAGTTTTACTCCCCATTAATTTTCCTGAGATGTATGGAGTCTGTTGTAAACACAGAACTCAGAAATGTATCTTCATATGCTTAGTTGTTGATGTTACTCCTAAGGTCTGAATGATAAATGAGGACACGACTACTTTAAATGGTTGAGGAGAAGGTTTATTGTAGGTATGAGGGAGAAAATAGCCAGAGGCATCTGGAAGGGTCCAGAATGAACTGGTCCATGAGAGGGGAGAGAGGAGGAGAGAGAGAAATGAAGAGAAGACGGGAGAGAGGTGGAGGCCAAGGGAGGAACCTGGAGCCTAGAGGTCAAGAGAGCACCTAGCAAAAAATGTCTGCTTTGATATGTTAATGGGCACCTCAGCCATTTGTCAGGGGTATTTTGATACCTAACAAGGTCCAGGCAAGCCTGGTATACATGCTGTGAGAAGATGTTATCAAGGCCACACTATTTTTATAGATAGAAAACTTATGGATTAAAATTAGAAAGCACCTTTTGAATAATTATGATTACAATCCTATATCAGAAAAGTGTCTCCTTGGTTCAAGAAATGCAGTATACTTATGCGCATGTGGAAAAACTGTTTTTTATTTTAGGGTCTGTTGATATTCAGTGCTGTGACTGTGGACTTCTTGTAGGAGGAGTGGGAATGCCTAGACCCTGCTTTCAGGGCTTTTTGTGGACACCTCCTCTTTGAGAAGTGCAGCAGTCAGGACTCTGAGGGTCAGAATAATTTTCTTGCATTCTCCCTTTGCTCATTCTCAGGGTTCTTGGACAGACCACTCTGCATGTGTGTGAGCTGTGTGTGAATGAAGTTTCACATCCCATACAGTGAGATCCTCAGAGACAAAGAGACAATTTTTTGTGATATTTTCTCTCTTCATGTTTATCCTTTGAAAGGTGTTTTCTTCTTTTGTTTTTGTTCCATGGAAAGTTCCAGGTGTTTTCTGAAGAATCCCTTTCCCATATGCAAGTCTTACATTGCTCAGTCAGTCCTGCTCACCTGGGAATCGGAACAAAGAGCCCTGCATGGTGGAGAGAGGAGACAGAAGCAAAGGATCCAGGTATGCTAGATGTACTGAGGAAGGGGTGAGGTACATATCAAGTGACAGTTGATACAGGAAATTGTTTTTTTTTTTTTTTGGTTTTTTTTTTTTTTTTTTGGCAGATTCTATTTCATTAATGATTATGGAAAATTTACTGAAAATAATCTTAGATGTGGTATTATGAATTTCCCATTGTTGGCTCTGTAGTAAGCAGCCATTTGATCAGTTATGAGTCTCTGAAATATCTGTTGCCCATTGAAACCAAAGTTTCTTTGACCCAGGCTGAAAGCAGCACCCTGGATATGGGAGTGGACTGAACCATTTCAAGGCAGGTTGAGTATTGTCCATGTAGCAAATATCAGTAGTGACTCCCTGCCTAGGGTCTCTGACCTTTGTTATCATTGCTTTTCACCAGGTTCCCAGTCTATCCATGTATTTCCTTCTGTGGAGCTGGCCTCATATTGAACCAGAAAACCTTCTGGTACCTATAAAAGAATCTTGCCCCTATGACACCAGTGGGTATGCCTTGCCTGACAGATTGGGATTATTGCATGCAGGATCCTAATATGGGTATGTCCATTGATACCTGACCGAGGCTAAATAGCAGTTTTTAACAATATGAATGCTATGGCCAGGGAGTCCAAGATATCTGTAGACAGTGTGAGTGGTCTGATCTGAGCTTTCTCAAGACAGTCCACTTGCTTTCTGATGCTCCTATATTGTCCTCTAAATTTTTCTATCTTTCTTGAGTTGTGAACACACTGATGCATTGTGTTGAGTTAGTCTTGATTCATGTGGAATAATACCACTTGTCCTTCTTTTGTACTGTTTGGTTTAGCTTTGTGTCTCTTTATCTTTATTATGCTGAGGTATGTTCCTTCTCTTCTCACATCTTAAGAGCTTTTATACTGAGCAAATGTCATATTTTACTACAGGGCTTTCATGTATCTATTGACGTAGTCATTTATTTTCTCCTGCTGAGTCCACATATTTAGTGTGTTACATTGATTAGTTTGTAGGTATTGCATTCTCGGTGTCAACTCAGCTTTCCTTCTATTTCTTTGTTACTTAGATTGTCTGTGTCTGTTTCCTTCCCAGCAAGTAGTCTGTGATTTTCCTTTGTACATATTTGTTTGGGCTCATCTACTTTGGGTGTCAAGGTAAAGCCTGCTCTTTGTCATGACTTTGTAGCATTCATTTTCTTTGTGTTTTATTTACTATTCTCCTTTTGACATTAGTGTAAGGTTTATCTAGAAGAAAGGAGAATTCTGTGCTGAATCTGTCCAGTCTTCAGACTGTTAGAGGAAACTTGCTGCTCAGTTTCAGCTCTGCTTAATATGTGTTTTAGTTTTATTAAATAAAGGGGGTTGATTATTCACTTCTTTCTAGGAACTCATCATTTCTTCTTCAGTTCTGATTTATTTGTGTATGACTTTCCACAGCTCTCCATAAGCTCACACTGGCATTAATGTCATACATTTCAGCTCCAGTTCTAATACTTAAGGAATCACTTTTTTAGCTTTGATTAAGTAAAACAAGTCTGGCATGTTGAACATCTTTCTACATACTATTTCAGATTGACTTGTTCTCTTCCTTGTAAGCCCCCAGACACATAATTATGGACAAATGTCTTTCATAACCAGTTCCTCTTGCTGCCAAACATTTCTCAATGTTTCTTTGTTACCCCACTTCTGTATGATTGTCTTTCATGAGCTGGCACTCACCCTGAAACTCTAAGAAGGTTTCCTCCATGCTCCTTGAATTCTGTCTCCCTATTCATTGGTTTAAGTCTCCACAGTAGCTAATTAGGGAACAATGAACCAAGTTCTAGAGAGGTGGCTCAACTGTTAAGGGCACTTGTTGCCCTTGCAGCTTCCATGTTCAGTTCCAGGAACCTTCCTTGATTCTTAACACCCTTCTGGAACTCAGGTTCCAGAGGATCTATTGCCCTCTTCTGGCTGCTGCAGGCTTTGCACGCATGAGGTGCTCAGACCTACCTGTAGGCAAAGACACCCGTCCAAATAATATAAATATACCTTTAAAAAAAAAAGAAAAGAAAACATAAAGTATCTGGAAGTATTACATAAAGATTTAAAATAACAGTCTAGGGAAGAACTTGGGGGTGTCACTATTTGTTAGAGTGAATGTGGAGCCTGAATACGTGGTGGGATTGCTGACACCTCACATCAACAAGTTAGGAATGATCCCTATATATGATAAATAAGTAAAGTTGTTTGTGTTTATGGACAGAAGTTTTATCGTATTGGTTATGACAGGAAAATGCTGTCACCCAGCATTCCATCAACAGAGAAGTCTGCGATGGGAGGAAAGTGAATTGTATCAAACATCACAGTTTTCTTATTCTAAGGTGTCACCACAGGCCCCAGATCTCAGTTCTTGTAGCTGATCAGTCTGTAGAAGGTCATGTTTCTACTCCAAATAGTTCATGATCACCATACAGCATTTGGCATTTGTATCAGTAAAATAAATTGGATTAAGAACTGTGTGTTACAACACTTCACACAACGAACTCTTCCATGCTCTTCATATGTGAAATGTGCTGAAACCAAACACATTGAGTGACATTCTCACTGCCACACTCCAGTGCTTTGGTTTGTATTTGGTCTTCTAAGGTCCTGAAGGTCGTGCATGTTGCTCTCTGAGGTGAGTTGGCTGCACGTGGTGCTCTTCATTGGAGCTTTTGATGTTTGTGCATTTCACCTTCATCTCTACACTGTTGTCAGATTCTGTGTTGCTGCTGTGAATTTCTCTGACCTTCTCTTGGAATCACCTTCAGAGAGGACATATCCTGTTTCTATTGCTGCTCATCAGGTCCCCCCTTTTTGTTAGTTTAATAATAATGAATTTTCCATGTGCCCTCTGGTTTCTGCTGGGTAGGAATAGTGGAGATGTTGAGTGATGTCTCTTTCCTTCCTCAAAGTTGAGGATGTCTCTATTTTTTTATAGTGTAGCTTTCAGAGCTACATTTTGTTGTCTTTGTATTGCTTATTTTTTTTAAAGGCTATTTTATTTTGGTTTTTTTGAGATAGATTTTTTGTGTGTGTGTGTGTGTGTGTGTGTGTGTGTGGTAGTCTTAGCTGTCCTAGAGTTCACTCTCTAGACTGGGCTGGCTTTGAACTCACAGGGATCTGCCTGCCACTGCCTCCCGAGTGCTGGGATTAAGGGTGTGCACCACTAGAGCCAGACTGTCTCTGTATTGCTTTAATGCTGTTTTATACTGTGAATTTCCTGACTTCATTTGCTTGTTATTATTCTTGCTTAATTCATTGAGTATCTTCTAAATTCCTCAAGGAATTCATAAATACCTGCATTTGGTTTCTAGAGAATTTTTTAGTTCTTTTTATTTATCTTGATTTTTGAAAATTCTCTTGATTTTTGTTCACATTTGATCGTTTACGAAATTTGAGCCTCTTATTCGAAAATTACAGAAAAAAATAGAGTGATTTTGCTGAAATGGTGGAGAAGAAACATAGAATGCCTCTGGAAGTTAAGAGGCATCTCCTGTTCCATATTTAACCTAAAATTCTTGAATTAGAAATCATTGCTATTCCCAGTACCTGTCAAGATATAAGATGATACAAGATGTAACTGTGACATATGTGTATGTAGTTATACAGTGGATCTATAATTATGTAAACGTAAAATCAGTTACCGAGTCATGCAGAATGAATGCTTATTTTGTGACACAGGATTAACATAAGATGTAACGTAGGACAAGACAATAGACACATGTCTCACATTTCAACTAAAAAGTTGATTTCCATGGAGGAAAATGATAGCAGCCAGGGACTGAAGGACCTCAGAGTTGTCACACTGAGTATTTATTGTCAACTTGAGAGTATTAAGAATGGCCTAGCCGGGCGGTGGTGGCGCACGCCTTTAATCCCAGCACTTGGGAGGCAGAGCCAGGTGGATCTCTGTGAGTTCAAGGCCAGCCTGGGCTACCAAGTG